CTATTCAACGAAAGGAGACTGCGACCACACAAAAGGCCACACCATCTTGGTCTTTATACCTTCGATAATCTTTATAGAATTTCCAAATACGGCTGACTTTCACTGACATATCGAACATGTATATGTGTATTTGTCAGTGATATTTTATATGAAAGTGAAAATGAAGAGATTCGCATACGATAGAAGTGTTTCAATGTACCGAATGGCTCTACCTTAATGAAAATTAGATTTGGTCAAAGGAAGCCATATCTCCTAAGCACTTTGGAAACTAGAGTAGTGTTTTTAAGGGATTAGAATGTTTTTTCAAGACTGGAGACGTTATAATATAGCCTTCATGTTATCGTAACTATGTTGCAAAAACTAGTTCAAGCCAACTTCATCCAAAATAATAGATCGCAAACACAGGGGCTACAACATCGTAACTTAATATCAAAAACCATATTATATACTTACCTAATTATTAAATGAAAATGAAAAATCATTTCAATTCGCCAGACATATAAAATGCTAACTAGTTTTCGTCGAGGTTAAGAGAAAAAAAAGTATATCACACACATATGAAGAGTCTAGATATAGATATTTCGAACACACAATTCAAACATACCCATTATCAGGACGACGCGGATCCCTGAAGGTCGTTGCCTTCGTATTGTGATCGACGAAGAAGGGAAATCCATCGGGAGTGTATCGCATCTCCCAGCCATCGGGCAACGGGTTACCCTGAGTACGAGGATCTTCCCATTGAGTAGTGCGGTTGTTATGGTTAACAAAGTATGCGCGGCCGTTAGCATCTAGCCGGCGCTCTAGAAGGCATTGAGAAGGTTGAGGATGGATAAAAAAGGAATGGTTAGTATAGACATAGTTGGTGTGGAAAATTGAAGACAGAGTAAAAATAAGAAATAAATTACAATATTTAAGCAATGGTGCTGCTATTATAACGGTACATATTAAAAAGAGATTTAAAAACCAGATCGATATAAAGAAGATGCAAACAATAGGGAGAATTATTGCGAGCATAGGTTTAAGAGAATATATATATATAACTAGACATTAGGAATATATTTTGCTCATTGAGCTCACTTCCATTTCGAATGAAAGTATTTGGTAAAGAGATTCGAAGGCCGATTCCACCAGAAGACGACGGTGGATTCCTCTTGACTAGCTGTCGATTGGTTTTACTGGAACATTCATGGTGACGTTGTTTCCAAAGTAATCTCCTTCGATCAACAGCCGGTTAAGAAAAATCCCTCATCGTCTTCTAGTGGAATCGACCTTCGAATCTCTACATCAAACACTTTTACCCAAAATTGAAGTATGCTCAACAATTATGAAACAAGAGATTCCTCAAAACTCAACTTTGCTTCACATATATTTTGCTTACTAGTGTTCTTTAAAAAAATTTCTGAGGACTCTAGTTTAAGATATAGTTTTGCTCTGAATATGCGTATTAAATGCAGGAGAAAGTTTAACGAGGACAAAGTACCACTTCACGAGAGGTTTTACATTGATTTATTAGATGTTGAGACTACTATCCTACAAACTATTGACTATATTTGGTTCATGCTAGAGCAAACATTCGACGCTGCTAATTCAAGCAAGGTGATTCATCCGTTATTATACAGCATAAAGGGATCAATGGCCTAATATTTTGATGAGCCTATGTTATAAGCAAGAATTCATCAAATTATACATCGTAAACATCATTTTAATTCTATTCTAGCCTAGTTGTGACCAAGATCCTGTTATCCATCCAGTCAATAGATGGGGTGGCATCTTGAAATACTCCATCAACTGGCCAATAGAAGATATGAAGACCAAGATGTTGTGGCCTCTGGTATGGTCGCAGTCTCCTTTCGATTTAAAGAAGTGGGTTGACGTCGTTGTTGCAACTTGGTCTTGTTGTCAGGGAGACAATGTAGAACGCACCTAGTCCGAAGTCGTCTGTCATAGTAGTTGTCATGATTCCCATC